TAGTTGCTGGGTCATGTGGAGGTCTGGGGGGGTCCCAGGGAAGGGGCTGGGAGGTGTGGTGTAGGGCCGCCTGGGCTGTGCAACCATACAGAATCAGGTGGACCGTACCCCCAAGAACCAGCTGCCTGTCTCACCGAAGCCAGCCGTGCCACCTGTGGGCTTTTGCGGATGGCCCCTGGTCTGCTCACCTCCACATCGTAGTGGGCCATGAGGATGGCAAAGCTGCTCAGATGATTGCATTGGCAGGTGGTGCTGCCATTCCCGCTGCCCAGCGTCTGGCAGCCCGAGGTGGCCCAGTACCCTCTCCTGTTGCTGTCACTCCTCCAGAAGGCGCAGATCAGCTCCTGCCTTGTCCCGGGCATCTCCCACTGTGAGCAGGTAGGGGCGGTGGTAGAGGTTAGCCTGGAGCCCACTCTTGGGTACTGGGCTTGGGTTGAACCCAAAGAGGGCTGTTTTTCATTTGGCATTTGTCTACTGAGCACCTACTGTGTGTGTCAGGCCAGGGGACACGGGAGTAAACAGGGCAGACACAAGTCCCTGTCCTTCTGGGGCTGACATACTACTGGGGGAGACAGACAGAAAATAATAAACCTAATAAATTTTCAATAAGTAAACTATATAGTGTGTTAGAAGGTGCTGAGTGCAAAAGAAAGAAAGAAAAGAGCAAAGGGGAAAGGTGGGGCGTGATTACAGATTGTAATTTAAAATAAGCAGGTCAGGGAAGGCCTAGAAAAGGAGGTGACATTTGAACAAAGACTGGAGACAGGTAAAGGACTGAGTCATGTGGAGGAAAGTTGTCCCAGGCAGAGGGCACAGCAAGCGCAAAGGCCCTGAGATACCTGTAAGGAAGGAGCAGAGTGGGTGGAAGTGGGGAAACAAAGGCTGCAGAGGGACCACGGTGACCTTGGCCATGGGGTGAGCAGTAGGGCTGAACCCCCCTCCCCACCCAAGGACTCACAGGGTGGGAGAAGGTGAAGGTGACCTTGGAGTTGAGTTTATCTGTGTTCGTGTTGCTCAGAAAGACCAAGTTGACGGCTGAAAGAAGCCTGAGCTGGGCGCTGCGGACAGGACTTTCGTAGATCTCTTCCAGCTCGGTTTGCTTCTCCAAGTCCAGGTCCAAAGAGGCGTTGGCCAGCAATTTCTGCATGTTCGGGCTGGAAAGGATTCCTACCACGGTGGGGCCTGGGGGACAGACACGCTGGCTACCTTCTGCTCTGCTTCCTTCTGTGCCCCATCCTCCCTCCTAAGATGTCTAATTCAGGCTCACCAGTCCACTGTGATGCCTGGAGTCCCTCCCCATGGGTCAGTTTTCAGTTGCTGTATATTCGGAATCTCACCCCTAGCCATATCCCAGCTTCTCCATCCCTCTCCCTCAGGTGCCCACTCCGGATCCTGCCATTACCGGACTTCTCGGCTCCAGCTGCCACGGCCCAGTCCAGCAGCATCCGTGCCTGGCTCTGGCCCACGGTGATGTTTCCATTCCCCTGCTCCTGGACCATCAGGGACAGCTCTGAGGGGACAGGGGGCAGTGATCAGGGGCTCTGGGTGTATGAGGGGGGCCCGGGGCTGGGGCGGAGCAGGACGGGGTCTCACCTGTGTCCCCAGGAGAATGGTAGATGAAGGAGCCTTCAGACATGGCTTTGGCCAGGGTCCTCAGGATTTGTTCGAGGCCTGAGAACAGGTAGGTGGCTGTGTGGTGCCTGGAAGACAGGTCCAAGGCCTCCAGGTCCCCTGGGGTTTTCAACAGGTCATCCAGTGACATGATGAGGTACTGTGGGTGTTGGGTGACATCTGCTGGGTCATTGCACCACAGGGGCTGCCTGAAGGACCCTGATCTCACCTCCCCTCACCCCACCCCCACAACTGGGGTACACACTGGAGAACCACCTGGGTTGCCTGGGGGACAGACACAGGGGAATCTTCAAGACACTGCAGTAGCCAGAAGACAAGTAAGGGGACTGAGTATATGCCTGTGTGCACGTATTATAACAACGACAGCGCTTAACATTTATCAGGCACAGGCCATTTTCTAAGTCTGCACTGCCCCAGAACAGTTGCCACGAGCCACAGGTGTCGCTTGAAATATGGCTCCACGTTGAAATGGTAATAGTTTGAATCTATTGGGTTATATGCAATTTTCACATTAATTTCACTTGTTTACTTTTACTCAAATTTATTCTTTACTTTTATATCTTATTTTATTATTTTTTATTTTTATTTTGCGGTACGTGGGCCTCTCACTGTTGTGGCCTCTCCCGTTACGGAGCACAGGCTCCAGACGTGCAGGCTCAGTGGCCGTGGCTCACGGGCCTAGCCGCTCCGCGGCATGTGGGATCTTCCCGGACCGGGGCGCGAACCTGTGTCCCCTGCATCGGCAGGCGGACTCTCAAACACTGTGCCACCAGGGAAGCCCTACTTTTATATTTTAAAAATGTAGCTACAGGAAAATTTTAAATGATACAAGGGGCTCACATGTTTCTCTCTCTCTCTCTTTTTTTAATACTTATTTATTTATTTTGGCTGCGCCGGGTCTTGGTTGCAGCACGTGGGATCTTTGTACGGCATGCGGCATCTTTAGTTGGGGCATGAGGACTCTTACTAGTTGCGGCATGCATGCGGGATCTCGTTCCTCAACCAGGGAACCCAGGCCCCCTGCATTGGGAGTGTGGAATGTTACCCACTGGACCACCAGGGAAGTTCCTCACATATTTCTCTTTTTAAAAGTTATTATTATTATTTTTTAGGGGCTCAATATTTCTACCAGGCTAAGGACATATGCCAAAACTTACGTATACTGCTTATACTGTGTGCCAGGCACTATTCTTTGAGCCTTACTTCTATTAGTTCATTTAAACCTTTTCACCACCTGTATGAAGCAGGCACCATTTATGAAGTGAGGAGACAGGCCCAGAGAGGGGGAGTCACTTGCCTGAGGTCACACAGCAGGAAGTGGCAGCGGGTAGGATGGGGTGTATTTGAACCTTGAGGCCTGGCTCCAGAGGTGAAATTCTCAACTGCTTCATTCTATTGCCATTATATCCCTCTCAAATGTGTGTGTGTGTGTGTGTGTGTGTGTGTGTGTGTGTGTGTGTACATTTTGGGGTGTGTATGTATGTCTGTGTTTGTACAATGTATATATATGGTGTGTGTGTATATTGTGCATACAGACACAGAGGCCCCTGCTTGGGCATCTCCACTCACACTGAAGCATCCTCCAGCCACCCCACACTGTCTTGGGGCTCCCCCCCAGGGCCTGCCCTTACCTGGATGGTTTCCTGAGGCAAGGCTGACTTGAAGTCTATGCTCATTTTCTGGACTCTTTCAAAGAAGCCAGAGAGACTCTGGAGAGAGAGGAGAGGAGGGGGGTCAGAGAACCTCATCCTGGATGGGGGAGCTTGGGGAAAATGGGTGGACAGGGTGAGCTGGGTGGAAGATTTCCTGTCTCCTGTTCCCTGCTGGGGCCACTCACCTGGCTCTTGATTTCAGGGGGTGCGGTCCAGGTGGGGAAGGAGATCTCTGCAGGGGACAGGACAGCAGTTCATTAGGTGTGAGAGTGTCTGTGCTTGTTGTAGGAGGGGGTCTGGGGTCAGGTCAGGACAGGTACCTTCGCAGGAGATGGTGCCCATTTGCTTATCCTGGAATCCGGGTTTGGGCACCCAGCCTTGGCGGCAGTGACACGTGTATGAACCCACGGTGTTGACGCAGATGGTGGAGTTGTGACACTGATGCTGCCCGGAGCTGCACTCATCCATATCTGGGGACACGAAGAAGGGGGTCTGGCTCTGTCCCAGCCCTGATGAATCCCCTCTCCTCTCTGTGCCCCTCTTTTTCCCATATTAGTGCCCCCTCCCACGCCCGGAGGTGATGCCACCTGGTGACTGCACATCATCGAACGGTGGACGCTGAGGTTATTTATGGGAAGTGTGCAGAGTTCTGACACATAGCAGGTGGGCCCCATACAGATAGGCAGGTTGTGAAAATACTGAAGAGTCTTCGTCTCAGTTATTAGCTGCTGCCTGGAGTCCCTGGGAGCTTTTCTCTTGGCACCCCAGCTCCTTCTCCAGGACCCCCAGATGTTTTGACATTTAGCCCCAAAAGAATTAATGCCTGGCACAGCAGGGCTCCCCCAGCATTCTTTCTGTTTGCTTTGGGTGGGTGCCACTGAATATGTGATCCGATGTTTTAAGTGTGGGTCTCCAAGAACATAGCATCTGAGCTCTGAACCTTCGCAGACAGTGTTGTTTGGGCTGCTGGGGGCCCCAGGAATTGGCTTCCAGCCTGGACGGCAGTGGCACTTATAGGTGCCCACGAGGTTGAAGCAGTGGCTGGAGTTGTGGCATGGGTTTCTCCCCGAGGTACATTCATTCACATCTGAGGACAAAGCCAGAGGGTCAGGCGCCCCCCACTTCCACTTCTCACTGTACCCGCTTATCACTGCCCAGCACCAAGGACCCCACTGTGATTGCACGTGCCATCACCTGGTGACCTTCAACTTCACCCTCAAAGCACCTTAAGGTAGCCTCCCTGCAAGATGGGCACGGCAGGGGCCATGGTCCCCACTTTATAGTAAAACCAGGAGGGAGACTGAGTCATGGGGTCTGGAAGTCCAGCCCTGGACTGAGGTTCCCCTTCCGGGAACAGGAAGTGACAGCTTCCTCTGCTCGAATGTGACAGATGAGGAAGGGGCGAGGTCTGGGGATGTTCACAGGGGCAGGGAGCTCCACAAGGGAACCCCAGGCCCAGAAGGCTCTGCCGCCTCCCTGGCCTGTGGTGGGACCTTTCGGGGAGGCGAATCCTTGGGCAGGGCCCCGGCAGGCCCTTGGCATTGCAGGAACCTGAGGCTCTTCTCCCTCCTCCTCAGGCTCCAGGGACCGCCTCGACTCCTTCTTCAGCTCCAGGCCAGCCTCACACTGTCTTCCCAGGGCCTCTACCTGTGCAATGTCTTGGGTCCTCCAGGTTGAGCTTCAAGCCAGGTGGGCACTGGCAGAGGTAGCTGCCCTGCGTGTTGATGCAGAGACTGCGGCCTTTACAGACTTTGGGTTTCTGCTGACATTCATCCACGTCTGCGAGGGAAAGGAGAGGATGATGGATGCCTGCAGCTGTGGACAGCCTTCTGGGCCCGCTCTCTCTCCCTCGGTGAGTGCGTCTTTTCTAATTCACATGGAGGCATCCTGTGCGTGAGCATGGTGGCCCAGATATTCTGTTGTCCAGATGTGGCCAGGAGTGACCCAAGTCCTCCCCTGTCTGCCGGCTCTGGCTCTCTCAGCCTCCCTGGGAAGCTCCCAGCTGTGGTGGGGACATCACAGCTGCTTGTGTCCCAGCCTAAGGATTTGGACAAAGGCCTGGGCGTGCCTTCCTGGGAACCGAGTGCAGGAGAAATGCTGTGTTCCCTGAGCAGGGAGGTCCCATCTTGGTTCCCGGTGATGGACTTTGTCCTGACTCCCCCAGAGTGAGTGCTGTCAGCTGAGTTCTCCTTGGATCCTGGTGACCCTGGCGGGACAGCACTCTCCTGTCCACGCTAACTCTGAGACTCCAGCTCCATGGAGATGCACCAAGACCCACGCCTGAGCCACGCCCCTCAAGGACGAGGCTTCTGGGCAGTGGCACAGAAAATGAGGGTGATGCCGGAAAGGCCAGGGCCACCTGGACAGTGGGCACCAGGCTGTGCTGGACAGTGGGGCTGATGTCTGGCCAGGCAGCCTTGGGCCTCTGAAGGTGCCTTTTTCTGATTCCCACGAAGGCATCGCCTAGATTGGCAGGAAGTGGTGAAAATCCACGTCTGAGCAAGGCCTGCAGTGGGCAATGGCTGGGTGGCTGGAGCAGGGAGCAGGTGTCATGCATGAAGGGTGGCAGGTGTTTCTGTCATCTTGGCCCTTGGCCTCTCACCTGGGACGTAGACCCGTGGACCCTGCTGAGTGGGGCTCAGCCTCCGTCTTCTGTCCCCAAGTGGTCTGGGTCATCGTGGGGCCTGGGTTGATCTCTTCAGTAGAGGGTCAGGCCAGGGGCAATGGTCCCTGATGACAACCTCTCCTGTCATCTGCTCCAGATGGGAGCCTCTTTGTTCATCTGATTCTTCCAGTGTGTTGGGGGCTCGATGTCACCCTGCCCACCCCTGACACAACGTCCTCCCAGGCCCCAGTCATCAGAGCTGCCTCAGGTCCGTGAACTGGAATTACTGGGGAGGGTCAGGGTGGAGCCTTGTGTGGGGAAATAGATGGAAGCTGAGTGGCTGAGAATTGGGGTCAGGGTGCCAGGAGGCATCTTTTCCAGGCAGGTTGCTGAGCCAGGGCAGGGCTGGCCAGGGACGGTGAATCTCCCTCCTTCCGCATTTCTGGACAGGGTCCCAGGGTCCACCATGGCCCAGGGGGTCTGAGAGGGCCCCAGAGGGGCAGGTCTCCTCCCAGCAGTCACTAAGAGCGGCGAAGAGGGCAGATATTGTGCTGGAACACACGGTGCTGTGACCTCATTGAGTATCTTGAATGCCAGCCACTCTTTTGTTTCATGCAAATAAGATGCCAGGTGGCCGGGGGGATGTTCCAAACATCTGGAAGTGACCCTCTGCAAAGGGTTCTGAGCCTTGGGGTTCAGAGAGGGTTGGGAGATGAGGTAGGTGCACAAGATGGCCCTCTGATGCCTGGAGAAAGTGGGATGAGGAACCCAGGGAGCAGCCCGTGTCTCCTGCCCGTAGCAGACCCCACGGCCAGGACACGGGCGGACACATCCTCAGGTGTGGCAAAGGTTGGAATGCTGAGGAAGGGGTGCACAGACAGTCCAGCTGAGCCATGCACAGAGCTAGGTCTTCAGGCAGCAAACTCTGGTCCAAACCAGCAGGCTGCTCTCTCGCAGTCACCCTCCTTGAGGTCCGTAGAGCTCCCTCTCACACCTCACTCTTGTTCATCCGTGTCTCTGCAGGGGCTCACAACAGTGGGTGGGTGGCACCCCCAGCCAAGGCACACTGAGTGGGCTCCAAGACCACCATGTACAGTTGTGCAGGTTGCTGACTGCACAAGGGTGTCCAGCCAAGGAGGCAAATGGGAGAGGAAAACCAGCTCACTCTCCATTCCCTAAACACACAGTATTCACCTTGGAGATGAGGGACATTTTTCCAGTTCACGTGAAGGCTCTGGCCAGGCCACATGTTTCATGCACAGCATACCCCCACAGAGGCCCCTGTGGACCAGCAGCACCTCCACATAGATGCAGGTCCTCTCTTCCCTCCCACCAGGGAGGCTCTGCCGCCCTCCCTCTGCAGGGCAGGAGGGAAGGCGCTGGGACCAAGGTAGCAGCAGGGTGGGCCTGTGGACCCTACTCAGAGTCCTCTGAATCCTGGGTTCAGCCTCTTCCTCACCTCCCACCTTCCCCTCCCCGTCCTCAGTATTCGTGTCTAATCCTCTCTCTGGACCCCTCTCTGGAGTCGTGGCTCCTGTCTGTCCACTGCTGGCCCCATCTGCCCCTTTCCCTGCCTGCCTGCCCCCTCTGGAAAGGGGGCAAAACCTGGTGATGTGTGGAGACCAGGCTCCTCCGGGGTCCCTGGTAAAGGGATGGACTGGGACAGCTGCTCGCGAGCACCCACCGTGGGGCACGAACCACAGGGATGCCCATCCTGGAAAGGGTACATTAAATCATAATCATTATAATTTAAAAACCCAACAGCCGTCACTGTTTTGTGTTTTGTGATCTCCTATACCTTCCTGGCAATTCTATGAGGTAATAAGCGCCATTGGTCACCCCCTTTTTACAGATGGGTAAACCGAGGCACAGAGAGGTGAAGTAACTTGTCCAAAATCACACAGTTAATAAAAGGCAAAGCTCCTTTTGTTTTTATCTGTAAAAGATAGAGACTCTAAAAAAACAAAACAGGGCTTCCCTGGTGGCACAGTGGTTGAGAGTCCGCCTGCCGATGCAGGGGACACGGGTTCGTGCCCCGGTCCGGGAAGATCCCACATGCCGCGGAGCGGCTGGGCCCGTGAGCCATGGCCGCTGAGCCTGCGCGTCCGGAGCCTGTGCTCCGCAACGGGAGAGGCCACGGCAGTGAGAGGCCCGCGTACCGCAAAAAAACAAAAACAAAAACAAAAAAACCCATACACTCACAATAGTATCATCACATCCCACATGTTAACGGTGATTTCTGAATAAGTATCCTGGCCAGTGTCACACACACAGCTATCAGGTGGCAAAGCCAGGATCTGGGTCCCTGGCTCATGCCGCCCTGCCTCTCTGTGCAGGTGGGAAAGGCACAGGTACATCTGTCCCAACTCAGACCTGGGTGCTACACCTGTAACCAAAGCCCTGAGCCCTGGATGCTACAGGAGTGACACAGTATTGTGGTGGCCCCAAAGCTCGTGGATGGAGAAGTGGAAGATGCAGGGGCATTCTCACCTCGACACGTATTCCCACTCTCGTTCTTGAACAGTGTTGCCCCAGAGACAAGCTCATATCCTGGGCTGCACATGCAGTAATAGCCCCCTTCCGTGTTCTGGCAGTCTGCTAATTTTCCACAGGACACTGTCAAGGGTGGTCCGCACTCGTTGATGTCTGGAACACAGCAGGGCAAAGGGTCACCTCCCAAAGGCATGAGTTTGGTCAGGGCAGAGATCCCCATCCCCTACCTGGCTCCCCAGCACTGGTCCTGATGGCTAATCAGTGTCTTTTTAGAAAGAATTAGACTCTCAGGCAATACTGCTGAGGCTGGGCTGCGGCTGGAGCAAGCCATTCCTGAAGCTTGTGCGATCAGCTCTGCTCTTCTTGGCCCTCTGGCCGGCACCCCAGATTGGGACACAGTGGGAAGTGCTGAAGTGGGGGGTGGGTGGAAGCTCTGCACCCCCCTCCTCAGTCCTGAAAGGGCAAACTGAGGCACAGACTCCAGACTCCTGGAGACCCAGCTCCTCTCTCTCCAGGAGGCCATGTTTATTCATGTCTCATCTCTCCACCTCTCTCATAGGTTTTCCTTTCTCTTTTTTCTGTCCTTGATGATGGTCCTGAGGAGAAAGGCTGAAGCCCCCAACCAACACCCATGTCCCCCCACGGGCATTGGACTGTACCCCACAATCTCTGCATGTCCCTCCATCACCCCCAAGCCTCTGTACCATCACAGCTGCCGAAGATGTCGGTGAAGATCTCCTCAGATGAAGAACTGAATCCCGGAGCGCAGCGGCAGGAGTTACCATGGACACATGAGGAGTTTGCAGGGCACCGCCCAGCACAGGCTGTGGGGATGGAGACCTTGGTCAGAACGTGAGGGCTGAGTCAGGGGCTGGGGAGGGGGGCAGGATCATCTCCATAAGAAGGGGTGTTGGGGAGGCATGACCCTGGCCTTCCCCCTGCAACAGGCCTCTCTCCTGTTTGGGCTGAGGGGGGGTGGGTGAGGGTCTAGGGCCCCTTCCCCAGGCTCCGGCTGTGGACTGAGTTGCTCCCAGCAGACTCACCCATGGTGCTCTGGGACCCAGCTTCCGACAGAGTCAGCAAGACACACAGCACTGGAACAGAGAAGGGGAGGGTCAAGGGGGTCACCAGAGCAGGGAAGGGCAGATGCAATGCTAAGAGAGAAGCAACTGTGGAAAGGGGGCTGTTGGCCCCTCCCAGGCTTGGGCTCTGTCCGTTGCTCAAGGAGAGAGTGAGTACGTGGCACCTCCCAGATATCGGACACCCATGGCCAGAGGCTCTGCCACCTGTCCCCTGGAGGTGGGTTTCAGAAACTGAGGGATGGAGAAGGGGCCCAAGCACCGAGGGGGTCCTGGCTCCCGCGGACCTGTGGGCTCTGTCGGCAACAGTTCGGTAAACAGACTGGAGCCTGGCAGCCACAGTTCAACTTCTGGACTGTGGTCAGGTTACCTCATCTCTCAGAGCCTCAGCTTCCCCTTCTGTAGAATGGGGATGGTGACGGGACCCATTTCCTAGAGTAGTATGAGAAGTAAGCCTCCGAATATCACCTGCTGTGTCAAAGTGTTTACTGTCGTCAACGTTTCTTTTCTTTTTGAAAAAAACTTATATGGGATTATAGTTGATCTACAATGTTGTGTTAATTTCAGGCGTACAGCAAAGTGATTCAGTTACACATAAACATATATTCATTCTTTTTTTCTTTTTTTTTTTTTTTGGCTGCACCGCGAAGAATGTGGAATCTTAGTTCCCCGACCAGGGATCGAACCCACGCCCCCTGAAGTGGAAGCTCAGAATCTTAACCACTGGACCGCCCGGGAAGTCCTACATGTATTCATTCTTTTTCAGATTCTTTTCTCATAGAGGTTATCGCAGAATATTGAGTAGAGTTCCCCGTGCAACGTTTCTCTGTGTAAGAATGAGGAGGTTGGAGGAAAAGGACTGGGTGTTTTCTCAGATCCGCCCCACCCCCGAATCTAAGTTCCTCCAGCCCACACACCCGTCCTTGGGGACGAAGGTGCATGCACACCACGCCCACAATATCTGTTAGCCCTGATGGCTGTCTTGAGACCCAGTGGTGACATTTCACCCTAGCCTCCCCTGCACACAGGAAGATGGTGTGGGCTCACGTTGGGGGTGACAACGTGACAGGTACAGCCTCCTCCCCGGCTGTACCTGCTGCTCAGGGGCACCCCACTCTCGGGGCCTCCTCAGGTCATCAGGGGCTTTAGAGATGGGGATCTCCTCACGGTTCACCAGAGACAGACAGACAAGAAGACAGAGATGGAGAGAAAACAGAGATGAGAGAGAGGGAGAAAGAAACAGAGACAGAGAGATGAGGAGAGACAGATGGAGAGAAACAGAAGTTAAGACAGTGATAGAGAGGGACAGAGAAACAGGACACTCAGAGAGAGACAGAAATGGCAGAGATTGGACAGGGAGACACAGATATGGAGATTGAGAGCAAGATAGAGAAAAACAATTAGAAAGGGGGTGGGATGGAAACAGAGGGAAAGGGAGTGAGGGGGTGAGGGCAGCTCAGCAACAGGTGGAGGCATGGGGAGGGCTTGGGGGAGGCGTCCAGTCCCTGCCCACGTGGGAATGCCGGGGAGGCAGTGCAGACCCCAACAATCCAGGGAGACCCAAAAGGGGCGGTGGGCGGAGGGATGGGGGCCGGGAGGAAGGGCAGGCATGAGTCACTTCCTGGGCCAAGGGAACGGATGACTCATAGCTCGTTGCCTTTGGAGGGAGCTCCCAGGGGAATTCTGGGGTCCATCATCATGCGTGAAGCTTGCGGGGCTGTCAGGGGTGCAGGCTGGAGGGTCCCCCGACCACTCAGCCCCTCGGTCCAAACTTGATACCCCTCAGGCTGGCGGTGGGCAAGAGTCCCTCCCAGAAGCTCTCCCAGCCAGGGTAAACTGAGGCTGGAATGTCCTTCCTCTCCCTCGTGCGATGATTTCTCTCGTCCTCCTCTCTGGTCACCGGGCTTGGCTACTTTCCCCCTTGGCTGGGGCTCAGTTCCTCTTTGCATGACACACCACAAAATGGCCTTCCCTGGTAGGATGGGACCTGGGCTGATTTGTCCCCAGCTCCCAAAGTCCCCAGTAGCAACTTTCACGTTCACAACTGCCCTGTTTGTGTCCATTCTGCAGATGGACAGACTGAGGCTTGAAGCCCAGAAAAAGATTCAGGAAGAATCTGGTGAACAGAGGAGCTTGGAAAAGGTGGAATTGATGGGGTCAAGGTCCCCAGATGCTGCAGGGGGATGGGACGGTTGTTTTGTGCCCTGTGACCTCTGCCTAGGCTGGGCACTGCTCCCCCACCACGGAGGCTCTTGGGCCAGGACTTCTCCATCTGGGTCCTTGGAAGTCGCCCAAACAGGAGCTGGGAGTGGAGCGGCTGGTCATCTGCTCCCAGTCCCATCTGGTTTGCATCCCCCCCGCCGAGCCCTGAGGCGTAAGATTCCTGGGGTGGGGATGGGGCAGTCATCCTCTCCTTGATCCTCCTGCTAAGGACCCCCCAGTCTACCCCCCAGACCAGCCAGTGAAATAATAATAATAATAAATACTGTTTACTTAATTCTGTGAACCAGGAATAGTTTGCATACGAACTCAGTTAACCTTTAACACAGCCCTATAAAGTGAAGACCAGTCTTGCCACATTTTACAGATGTGGAAAGTGAGATTCAGGGGCTGCGAGATCTGGCTCCGGTGACACACCGCCCCCCCATCAGGTGTGCCCCACACAGATTCCAGTTTCTTGCTTCCCAGTCTGGGAGCCACTGGGCTCACGCCTGCCATCCCGGGCCAGCACAGGGAAGCCCGTCCCTGTGGCCTGGGCAAGCTCTGGTTGGTACCCCAAATGCCATTTCTTCATTCTCTTTGTTGCTTGGTTGCCCTGGCAACCAGCTGCCCACCATAACCGGTAGAGCCACCCTGGGTGGGGCGGGAAGGGAGGCCCTGGGGAAGTCGCAGCAAAAGTCAAGTTCAAACCGTCCACTGGCAAAGTCCTTTCCACCCACAGCTGAGTCCAAGCTGGGCCCAGGGGAGCCAGAATGAGGGTCTCTGGGGCTGCCCCATGCCACCGAGACAGTGGGGGACAGGTTGGGGGTACCCCCTCAATGGGGAGGTCCCACCCCAACCCCCCAGCCCTCCAGCCCCGCAGCGCTCCCCTATGCCCGGCTGTCTTCAGGAGTCCCAGCACTCGCTTTTTTCCCCTCTCCTTCCCCAAACCTGTTTCCCCGCTTTGGGAGCAGCCCCCAGAGTGGCTCCAGTAGAGAGCTCAGAGATTTCTCTGGGAGAGGGGGCAGGCTCTTAGAGCAACCTGAGGGATCCTGCCACGGCTTGGGGGTGCTGGGCACTACCAGCCCCTCTCCCCATGTGCCCTCAGCCCCTGCCTGACCATGTGGCTTCCTCCGGGCCTGGCCCCAGAGCTGCCAACCGCACTTTGCGTTTCTCCCCGGGGAAGACGGGGCCGGAGCACCACATGGTGCTGTCAGGGGCTCCCTTGCTGCCTGCCCCCCACCCCACGGGGCCGCAAAATTCTCACCGTGAAAGACAACGCTGTGGGGGCCTCCCATGGTCTAAGCTGCCCGCAGGGGAAGCAGAAGTTAGGGCAGGGCTTCTCTGTGTCTCCAGGCTGGGCAGCTGTGCAGGCTTCCCCAAGGCCCGCCAGCCCTTTATAAAGGCGGGGCAGCCACTGGCCCAGGGCCCTCCCTGGAGCTGGCAGGGCAGCTGAAAACCAACAGGAAAGTGCAGTGAAAACACAGACCCAGGGGCGCTGTGTGTTGTGCGCGTGGGCACACACACACACTCACACACACTCAAACGTGGCATAGAGGCACAAGCTGCCCGTTGAGTGTCTGAACTCTCTGGCCCCTGTGTACTCGGGTTGGCTGATCCCAGGGACAAGGAGGAAGTCTTGCCTTGTCTGGCATTGAGGTTGGGGAGGAGCCACGTCAGAAATAATAGCTCAGGGCACCCACGTTGGGGGACCACCCTGTGCTCGCTGCCTCGTCGTGCTGAGTCTCCAGGGCCAGCCTCTGAGCTAACAGGACCTTCCTCCTCTGTTTTCCAGATGAAGAAACTGAGACACAGAGGCCAGAGTCCAAAGAAGAGCTGGGGGAGGGGCACAAAGGGGCGCTCACGGATGCCAGGCTGATGCCAAGAAGAGAAACTGCGGGATCTTGGGGCCACCATGCTCCTGGAGCTGGCCTTTCTGGGTCAGCGTTTCACCTGGTAGGAAACTTATATTTTGGGCATTCCTGGGCGCTACACTAATCAACAGAGAATCACGTGATAGGAGAGTTGTTTCCTTTTCAAATAAGTCATATGACTGGTTGATCTCGAGCCTTCTGATCATTTGTTTTAAAAAACACTATTATTTAGAAAGCACTTAATCTGAGACAGGCCTGATTTGCCTAGAGTTATCTCTTTATCTATTTTAACTCATTTACTCCTCGAAATACCTTCGAGGCAGGTGTTGCTATGATTCCCATTTTGCAGAAGGGGGAAACTGAGGTGCAGGTAACAAGTGGCTAAGCAGAGATCCACAGGTAGGCAGTTCAGTCCCCAGGTCCCTGCAATGAGCCCAAGGTCCAGGAGAAAGTCTCTGTTGGGTGCTAACACCATGGTGGCCCTGAGGTTTATCCAGCTAGAATCCATGGTTTATGTTCCTTGTGTTCTTATTTATTTGTAAATTTACAGGCTATTTGAGGCAATGAGAAGGGTTTCCCAATCAGGACATCAATATAAAGATTCTTTTTTAAATGAATGGATTCAAGGATGCAACAGCTTAGAAAATTAAATAAAATATTAAGTACATAATAGTTTAAAAGGTTAGGATTGCAGTCATGGAAAAAAAAGGTCACTCATGGCCAGAGGCAGAGAAGCATTATCCCAGGGATGGTGGAGCACCCCCAGTCCTAAAATTTACCCCTTCCTGCTCTTCCTGTCCCTTTGACCTGGACAGGGCATGGAAAGGGGTCCCATCAGGGTAACTGAGGTCTCTCTGTGCCTCAGTTTCCTCAGGGGGAGGGGAGTGGACATGGGAGGAGACTGGGAGGGGAGGGGACCAGACAAGGCCCAAGGTGGATTTTTGGCTTTTTTCCCTTAGAGCTGGAAATTCCAGGGCTGGACATGCCCCCACCTCCCCCTACCACAGGCCCACAGGTCTGACAGCTGGTGCTTGAAAAAGCTGGGGGGTAGGGGTTCCAGCCTGGGGCAACCACTGCCCAAGGGTTGCAATCATGCCTTCTCCTCCCCCAGGGATGTGTCTTGGGCCCTTGGAGCAGGTCTAACCATCCTGGGACTCAGTTTTCCTTTCTGGTGAATTGGATTTTAATTCCTGCCTACTGGCCTCACAGAGCAGGGTAAGGAAGGAACCAGTGATATAGGAGAGAAGGACTGGGGAAGGCACGAAGAGGGACATCCCCCCCCCCCCCCCCCCCCCCCCTTTCCCCTCCAAGTGGCCCAAGGGTGCCTGGGAACACCTGAGTCAGATCTCATCCCTCCTCTGCTCAGGTACCCTCCATGGCTCCCACCTCACTCAGAGTCAAACCCCAAGTCCTTCCTCGGCCCATAAGGCCCGGCCTGCTCTGCTGTCACCTCCCTGCCCTCACCTCCTCCCACTCTCTCCTCGGTAGCTTGGCTACAGTTTTCCTTATGGAAAACACCAGGCATGGGGTGACCTCAGGGCCTTTGCACAGGCTGTTCCCTCTGCCTGGAGCACTCTTACCCAGACAACTAGATAACCTCATGGCTCGCTCCCTCCTCTCCTT